TGTGTGTGTGTGTGTGAGTGAGAAAAAGATATCTAGGGCAATGGTTCCCAAACATGTGCCACTGAGGCCCAGGAGTATGCAGGTTTTCATTCCTATCAGGCTCCACAGCAGTTGATCACACAGGGAACTAATGATAAAATCAGCTGCTGTTTTGTTGGCATGATTGGATTGTGATGAAGATGATGATGATGATGATGATGGTATGTAATAAGACCTCCAGCCTGTGAAAAACAACTGATTATTGACTCGTGGGATTAATGGAAGATTCCGTTTTTTAACCACGCCAGCAGCTGTCGGTTTGCTCATTCCACCGCATTGGTCCGAAATGAAATTGCTCAACAACTGTTTTATGAATTGGCATAAAATGTTATGCTAGCATTCATGGTCCCCAGAGGATAAACCCTACTGACTTTGGTCACAGCCCTGACGTCTTTCCTCTAGCGCCTGATGAGATTGATGTCTTTGTTTGTCGGGTAAAATATCAGTTGGATGGATTGTTGTGAAATTTTGGCACAGACATGCATATTAAACTGCATAGATTTAATTAATGTGTTGGTCGCTTAATTTTTAATCTTTTGCCTTAAAATGTAACCTTGTCCAATACTTTGCTTTAGAGACGCAGCAATCGTTTCTGATTCATCGCTTAATGGATATTAAAAAAAATTATCAACGGCAAAAACATCAAAGATTTGCATGTTTCATCTCGATTCAGCTGATATTTTATGATAGTTAATTAAATTTATTTAGTATGTGACTCTTTGTTGGTCAACACAAGCATTTTGAAGAGGTCGCTTTGGGCTCTGGGATATTTGAAGCATTCACTATTATATCGTAGAACAAAAGTGAAGACTTCAAATAATTAATCGATGAATGAATTGCTAACTGCAGCCTTAGTTTGGTGTTTGTTTTACCAATAACTCTCTGCACATACTGACACAGACAGTTTATGACACCTACCTTGTTTGGTCAGACATTTGGACTTTGGACGACTTCATTGTAATCTGTATCATGAAAATAAAAACAAAAGGTGTGAAAGGTTCCTCGAGCTACAGTCCAGACCAACCACCAGAAATGTGTCCAACCAGAAGAGGTGGTTTCGTCCGGATCAAACTGAAACATGGTTCGGTTCGTTTGCAGCATGAAAACATTTTTGTTGAGCACTAAACAAGAGAAGAAGAACGTTTGAACGTTATTCATTTGGAACATTCGAGGTAGAGTACTGTGCTGGTGATGCTTGTAGTCAAACCACAATGATATTACAAGTCATTCATTTTCTCCATTCGAACAGAATGACTGATGTGAAATCCGTAAATGTCAAGTACAGGTAGAAGCAGCCCACGTACATGAAGACGTATGAGTGTCACACAAAAAGCTTCCGGGAGCTCCCTAAATAAAAATGTGAAACCAAAAATAACCAGATCAAATGTAAACAATGGAACAAAGACATGAAGCTTGGTTCAGACTGTCAGGTGTGAAAACGCCCCCACTGTGCTAATCTTTACTGCTAATTAGCAAATGTAAGCATGCATAAGAAAATGTTAAACAATAAGCCTGCTTAGCATCAGCATGGTAGCATTGTCATTGTGAACATGCTAATGTTAGCATTTAGCTCACAGAGCTGCAGGCACAGCTGCAGACTCCTCGTCTTGTTTATTAATATCTGGATGAAATTAGCATTTACACATTATTTCTGCTCTGTACCATCCTCTCAGTATGTCCCTCTATCAGTAAATGTCGAGCGTGCATTGTTCATATGTCACATTAAATATTAATAACATGAAGGATTAGCGAAGCAGTTTCAGTGACGTTCTCACCCTCAGACTTATTCAATGCATTGAGCAACATAAAGGGTTCTTCCATCTCATCGGGGACCATTTATTTTGGCCACCAGCTGAGCACTTCCGTTGGCTTGAACAGCGTCTGCTGGTGTTCACATGCCATCATCATCATCCCAAAAATAACAAGTGCTGTTGCCACAACCTTACTGCAGCTCGCGGAGCAGCCTCGGCTCTGTGGATACATGTGTTTTAGTAACGTAGGACAGAGGAGAGGAGGTGGACCGAGGGGAGAGCAGAGCTGCTGGAGCCCATTTATCTATCTCTGCTTGCTGCCCCTGCCCCCCCACATTAGACCTCACTCACTAAAAACACAAAATAGCTGTTGGTTGCTATGACAGCATCCCCCTCCCACCTCCCCCACAGGGATTGTGTGTTGGATGGAGACTAAATTAGCCGGCTCGCGGATCCTAATATCTCAGGCATGGGGAGGGGAAGCTAGTGGCTAACTGAGGTTACAACTTCACAACACTTTAAGAGTTTTATGTGTCTGTTTTTTCACTTCACAGCAAAGCCTGTTAAGACAGCAGGAGCGTGTGGAGGAACGAGTGCAGGAGATCGAAGAGCAGCTTTGTAAACTCGACTCAGACAAGTGTGTGGTGGAGGTATGTTGTTTTTAACCTGCTCTGTGGGCGTAGATGCAGCTACACACATTTTCAGAGACTCCACGTGTGGTGTTACATAAGAGTGGATTGACGTTTGTGCCTCCATGTTTGTTTACAGGACAGGGTGTGTGAGCTGAAAGAGGAGGTGCGCCTGCAGTACCAGCGGATGCACCAGCTCCTGGAGGAGGATCTCGGTCGGACACTGGAGGCTCTGGACCGGGCTCAGGCTCGGTTCTGTCAGGAGAACTCTGCCCAGGTTCTGGCTCTGGGGGAACAGCGCCACGAGGCTCAGAAGCTGCTGAGCTCCATCCACACGGCCTTCGGCAAAGCTGAGGAGCTGAGCTTCATGAAAAACACCAAACCGGTTAAAATCCTCACAGACAGGTTAGAGAATCGTACCTCGATTCTTTTACTTTCTCTGTTTTTGCGTGTGGTTCTGTGATATGCAGGGGAAGTTTCCAAGCAGATGTCTTATCTTGAATTTTGTCTCTTGGCCCTCGCTGCAGGTCTCAGGCATGTATGGGCAGCAGTCTCCCTCCTTACAAAGTTGGGAATCTAAACTCCAAACTATTCCTTTCTGAAATCTCGAAAAGAGAGAAGAGCTTGAAGAGAACAATGGAAGGTAGGAAGTGAAACACACTGAAGAGTTTCTAATGCAGGGCATGAACGTCATGAATGTGTTTTTATTTTATCTCCTCTAATTTCACACCTTGTCTCTCTCAGCTCCCCTCACCCCTCCCTCGACCTTCCTGCAGTCCGTTCCTGCCTATCCCAGCGGTCAGAGCTCTGGCTCTGGAGCGGAGAAACGGAAACATTCCACTGCCTTTCCAGAGGGGAACGGGAGCGTAGGAAAAACCGCTGCTCCAGGTTTCAAGGACTCCTCCTCTTCCTCATCTTCTTCCTCATCGCTTGCCAAGCAGCCCTACCTGGGCTCCAGCTCTGCTTCTGGAGAGGGCCAGTCCACCAATCAGCAGCCCCTCGGCCCCTGCGGCCCGCCTCACATCAGTGAGAGCAGCGGGACAGGGAGCGGAAGTGGCTCGCTGGCTAACCATCACTCGGGCTCAGTGTTTGGCTCCTCGCACTTTGCTCCCGGAGGCAGCAGCTCCTCCCACTCCTCTCAGCAGGCCGTGTTGCCGCAGTACGGAGGCCGCAAGATCCTGGTGTGTACGATGGATAACTGCTACTGCTCCGGAGTGCCCTCGGTGTCTGGTCACCGTAGCCATCCCCCATACCCGCGCTCGGGCTCCTTCCCCTGGGTCAGCGCCCAAGACTACCCCCCTCCACCTGGCCTGGCGTCTGGAGGTCCGTCCATGCAGGGATTGGCAGTGAGGGACTGGATTGACGCCTCACAGACACACAGACATGCAGATTTCTACGGGCTGTATGGGCAGCCCTCTACAAAGCACTACGTCACCAGCTAACAAGAGTACATGCACACACACACACGCACACACACACACACAAATAGAGACAGGCACCAATATAGCACACCGTTACCGTCTTACTAACTGGAAAAAAACTTAATGCAGTTATACTATACACACATTAAAATAAAATAATGTTTATATCCACACACAGATCTAGAGCATGTACACACATTCGGGGGCAGGGTCGATCTCTACGTGTTTTTATTTTTGCTTCACTTTCGGTCAGTGTTTCATGTAGTGTATTATACGTAAAATGCATAAACAGCCAACCCGCTCACACTGGCACAACTCAGCTCAGCATTTTAACGCTCGGAACGAGAGAAGCCGAAGAGCAGAGGATGAGATGCATCCTTTTTATTTATAGAGCAAGAGATGGATTGATATAAAATGAACTTTGAAAATCTTCTCACACCTTCATGGCTTCTCGCTGAGGCTAAAGGGAAAACAAAATGCCGTTGAGCTTTCCAATCCAGCGTCTCATGTTTTTCTGATATAATCACCCCTCCAGTTATACTGAGGTCAGTTGCCTTATGTTATTAGCATCATATTTTTCTCTGCCCAGCTGACTTTGTTTGATTGATCCTTTAACGAGGGACCGCGGCTCCTTCGTTTCTCTATTTTCTTAATCATCGCGGCATTTCTTCCTTTCTTTGCTGAGTTCAGGGATGGATTGTACGGCTTGAACACAAAACGCTCTTCCATGGAACACCCACAATGCACTTGTGGACGCCTTGTTATGCCTGGACTACAGACGCTGACCCACAGAGGGACAGTAGAGCTGCATCTGAAGGGCTGGGTGTCCCCTCCGAGTTTCAGCCCTTAGCTCCCCCTTTCCTGCTGCCAGGCTCCCCACAGGACAGAAAATCTTCTGACAAAGACTGTTTCCGTCTAGTAATTACTATGACTTTGTCTTATTTGGTACAACCGTAGGCGTCACACTTGTCCAGAGAGACTCTGATTTTAGAGCAAAGAGGCAAGAATGGACAGACCAAACCAATCAAGCATCTGGAGGATCTGATGATGCTGTAATTGTACTTCCTGCAGGGCAAAGATGTCACTTCCTCTCAATAAGCACACAAGCTCTTGGCTTCCTGTTTGCAGCTGAAAGCATGCAAGGAAAAGTTTTTTTTAAAGCACTCAAAAAGAAGAACAATGGTTGGAGGAGAAAAAAAAAACTGTGTGTGAAAGAGAAAAAAAAATGGTGGGAGGAATTTTTTTCATGGAACTTTTTCTAAAAGAACAAGACTGGACTGCGAGATGTAAGCAATGGTTCATCCGACAAATGAGCTGTTACAACAGTCGACATTAAAAAACAACAACATAAAAGTATCTTTTTTTGTAAATATTTTGTGAAATGGAAAAATTACAGACGTGATTTGGAGAAGGGTTCCAAATAAACAAATTTAAACTGGTCTCTGCTGTCAACTCTGTCTGTGATATCCTGTTTCCTCATGTTCGTTGAAAGGTTGTTGTCCTTAGAGACAATTTGCTCTTTTCATCCCAGTCTGATTCCGACCCCATTGATTCCTAATGAAAATATAATCCATCAAAAACAGCAGCGATCGTGGGAATGGAGTCTCGGTTGTCAATCACCATCTTTCTCCTACTTCTATATCATCAAATAACTAATTAAAATCAAACGTGAGTGTGAAAAAACAACCGACAGAAACTTTGACTGTTCAGTTTGGTCTCTGTCCCATTTGCTAACGTGGAGGAGGCAGGGTTTTTGACCTATACTGCAGCAAGCCAACAGCAGGTTATAAAGATACTAGACTTTTGTGTAGCTGTGATGTGGTCCATCTCTGTGTGTTAGTGGGATCAATCGGTTGTTGGTTTTCGTTAAAGCAGCGTTAGTTTTTCTGTTTCGTTCAATCATCCTCCCACTTGTAGTCTCACATCACACAATCTCTACCGCTCGTTCTCCGGCATGGAAACAACCTGTGTGACCTTACTCTCACTTTGAGTTTATCTGTCTTAAAAGACACATTAAACGAGCGGAAAACCCATTTGCGCAAAACGCTAAATATCTCTGTGTCCACCCAGAACAAACAGGGCTCATGAGTCTGTGTGGGTGGAGGTCTGCGGAGAGAAAACAGGATGGAGAGAACAGCTCTTTAGATGAGTAGATGTGAGCGTGTGAGTTCCCCTCAAGCCTGATTAAGCTGTAGCTGCTTTTCCCCACCCAGCACTGAGAACCTCGATCCCGTCCAGACTGCAGGGACGGAGAGTTGAGGGAGTGGAAATAAAAACTTGTTTCGGTGATAAAAAATCCCAGATTTGCTCAGAGGCTTCACAGGAGAAGGAAAATGAGACGGGCCCTTTTGTTTTGGCCGAGAATTTTAAGATAAGAGTAAACTTTATTGATCCACACGCCGGGGAACCTCACTTGCTACAGCAGCAGACACGTCGACAGACGAAACTAAAAAATAGAAAATACAGAATGTGTAAATTATATTTACCTTTAACTACAGAAATATTGTTTGTATTGAAATGTTATAAAGTAACGTGCAGTGGCAAAGGATGATTGATGAGCATGTAAAACTATTTGTACATTATGAATGAGGAGAAACGTGTGTGTGAATATTAGACTGTTCATACGAATATATAGGTAGATAAGAATAAAAAGATTATGAGTATAGGATGCTATATGGATATTACACCATACTAAACTAAAAACTACTTATTTTATATAGTACAAGTGTAGAGAGTTGAATATAAGTATATGACATAGTGCAGTATTTTAAGAATCTTAATACGTTTGTGCGGTAAAATAAAAAACAACTTCCACACTTCGGCTGCTGAAGGAGAAGATTGTGTTTGAGTAAAACACAGCGAAGCACTTTCAGCGGCTGTTTCCAAAGTGGAGAATTTACTCTCAGTCTCATTCATAGTCAGTTTCAGTTTCTCATCTCTGAACGACAGCCAGCGGTTTTAACGTACACGCGAAAGCAAAACATTTTAACCATGTTGCCTCTTTTCACGCCACCCTCGTCTTCCTGGTGGAGGCCGAGCGCCGATCCGAGGCCTCGTGTTTCTCACGTCAGCAAACCTCAGCAGAGACACACAACTATGAGGTTGGAGGTGCAGCATAAATTACAGGCCTGCTTCTCTCTCTCTCTCTCGCACATTAACAAACACTCCCCTCTCTCTCCTGACACACACAGTTTCTCACACTTGCATGCACAGCTGCTGAACAGCTGTCTGATCCATGAGGGGAGAGAGAGAGAGAGAGAGGGAGAGAGAGGGAGGCAGTAATCTGGACGCCTACGCCTCAGATATGTATCTAACAAACACACACACTGTCTGGCTCCTTTAAATTGCCCACACACACACACACACACACACACACACACACACACACACATTGAAACTTTTACTAACTGATAAAACAACCACAGAACTTTTTGTTCTCTTGTTTTGAAGGTTTCGACAAACACGTGAAGATAAAAGAATAAAGACTCTTTGACCTTTTATCCTTTACGCTTTGAAAAGCTCTACTTCCTTATAGGAAGAGTTATATCATAGTTATACGTTAACGTTTTGAAGTCAAATAATCAAATCAACGAGTGACACGTGCATCTGCCGTGGTTGGAGCGCGATCGGTTAATTGGGGAACCTGAAAGACGACACAGTCTCTCACACTAGCCAACAACATTAGCATGTGTTGCTGATAACATGAGGAAATTTCACGTAGACGAATCGCTCCCTTTAAAGTTAAATACTAAGTCACCGCTAGTAGTTTGTTAGCGTAGCACAAAAAGTTGAAACGTGGAAACAACTAGCCCGGTTCTGTCGTAGCACCTCTTGAGTTGTAGAATTAATGTGTTACTTTTGTTTTATGAGAATTATGCGAAAAAAACACTTTCTGTTTCTGGTGCTAAGCTAACACGCTACTAGCTGCCATTTCATATTTTGAGTGTCGTATCGATCTTTCCACCCAAATGTCGCTCGTTTTCCAAAACGTCAAACTTCTCCTTTAAAAGCCTGCGTCTTTCTTAACGTGATTCCCAGGGTGCATCATATTTTCCAAAAGCGATTTGTCAGAATCAACAGGGAGTCGAGGGCCACATGCGAGGAACAATGCGAGCACATTCTGTCTCTGAGGAGAGAGGGAGAGGACAATAAGAAGCTTTGTGGGAGAAGAAGAAGAGGCTGTTTGCGAGTTTCGTCTGAATCAGTCACATACGACGTTACACAGCGCAGCTCTGTTCCTACGGCAGGAACACACTCTCAGACATGTGACACCTCCGAATGTCGACTAATGGCCAATTATTTATGACCCCAAAGACGTCTGGGGTTCAGTGATGATGCAGCTTTTAGACAAATTCAATAAGACGACCTTTAGAATTATCGTTCAGATGGAACACAAATAAACACTTGACAGTGGTATCAAAACATCAGGATGAATATATTCCATTACTCCAACAGAGAAGAGATAAGATGAAAAAATAAGTAAACGTACT